CAAGTCTAACACTTGAACAAAAAATGCCTAAAGAGATTTAGTTCAGAATTGCTATGAAAAAAGATATTTCATCCAATTCGCAATTCTGATCGTTTGTTATTTCTCTATCTTTAATTTTTGGACTCGGCTTCCTTTGTTATTCGCCTCACGATATCATTGTAATAGAGATGGCATATTGCGTTACAGCACTCATCTTCTCTCCTGCATCTTAATTATCTATATCTTAGATCTATCGATGCACTTTTTTCAAATTAGCATTTCTCTCCTATTATTTCTAGTTGTCAGATGACAAACGTTTTCAAATTGCTTGTCTGACTATGTACGCATTGCGTATCTATTTTATATGACTTGTGACCTCCTGCGCACGAGTATAGGCTACTTGGAGCCTCTTGTTTCGTTCTACAGTCGTCTGCAGACAAGTGATTCGTTTTAAGCGAAACGCTCGGGGAAGCAAATCAAACAGCACAGGCATACACTTTACTCGTTCTAAAAGCGAGTGCCCCAGACAAGTGAAAATATACTTACCGGCGAATCTGCGTTCAACTGAATAGAAAATTTCTAACGTTTAGCTCTTAAACTCAGTGCAGTCGCTCACAAGAGATGGTGGTAGCCAGGAGCCATGGCTCCTGTGGTAGCTTATGATACGTGTTATTACAAGTGAATATATGAATTGAAAGATCATATATTTGAATATATATATCACTTCTTTATATGTGTTGTTACTGTCAAAATTGTAGTAACGAGTAATACCGATGAGTCATTATAATCGCTCACAGGTGAAAGTCCTTTACAAGTGACGCTTAACTCCAAACCAGTACTGCGTTGTCGAGTTAGGCGAAGAAGAACAGCGATGATCTTTATTTCTATTGACATACCTCCCGAAATTGTGTGCACTACTTTTTCCACCTGGAGCTCCATCAAATTGGCAGTTAAACGATCTGCTTTTGTAACCGTTTATAGTCCAAGCTTGCCGATCTAACTGTTTAGTCAGAGCGGTGCAGTTAAAGCAGTCATTTCCCCGGATGTTTATGTATTCATACATCCGACAAGTAAAATTCCAGCTGCCAAATATGTCGTGACCTTCCAGCTTGGCGCGTGCATAGTCGGTATATTGCAGACCCTCTGTTGGAAAGTTACAGGTTGCTCGGAAGTGTGTTGAGTGATTAGCAATGGACCGCATCTGTGGTAAGGACAGGCGATACGAGCTCCAGCTCACATCATTGTCTTCGTGATTTACAGGGAAATCAGCGCCAAACGTTTTGTCTTTGAACAGAGCTTTATTAGCCAGGGAAAATGATTGTATCAATGCCCAATGAAATCCCGATTCTGACTCCATGTCGCAGAAAACAGAAAACGCTTGGTTCGCAGAATCAAAGATGAGGTACTTTCCTGATTTCGAAGCTCCGTTCTTAGCAATATCTTTACAGGTTCTTAGATGTTCACGGTTAGTCTTGTCACATCGCCGGCCTGTGTGCGTGTCGGAGCAGGTACAGTTAAACCTTGAGCTGCGAGGGTCACAACTCTCCTGACATACCCCTCCGTTGGCACAAGGATTGTCGCGGCAGCATCTGTTCGTACAGCCATGTTTTTCTGGGATGTATTTCCCTCCACCCTAACATACAGAACATGAAGTACTGTTTATGTTTATCGATACTGTTACTGAGATTGCAACTTCGAGGCTGCTTTTGTAACAATAGAGTGTTTCTGTCGAGGACCCATGGGCTGATAGTTTTTCAGGGAAATTTTATGTTTCAGAATATTATTCCGAGAGCGAAGTTAGGGCATGAAATTTCCAAGGGCAAGTTTCAGCCCATGAAGGCTAGGGACAATCAATCGCGATCCTCTATTGTCTTAAATATTCACCATTAAATTCACAGGAAACAGAGGAGTCCTATTCTACCATATGTTCAGCTAAATTCGCCCTAGAATTACTGCGCGACGTCGATGTTGTTGATAAGGTTAATAAGTTAAGCCTCACGCGATCGTGTTTCGTTGATCTTGTGTTGAAATTCTAACCAAAAAATTTGAGCTTGGAGAATTTGCCGAAAATTGTTGTCTCCGGTGGAGGCACGAAGTGCCGAGAGTAAAAACAAACAAACAAAGAAATTACCACGTGATTCATTCAGTAGTGGATTAAGTCTGTATACGAGCCAAGTGGCCCATCAGGCCGGAGCTTATCCCGGTTTCCGTAGGATGAAGCGACTAGGAGTGTGTCTACTCCCCCCTGGATGGGATGCTAGTCCATCGCAGGGCTAACCCCAGCATTAAATTCGCCGGTACCCATTTACACACCTGGGTGGAAAGAGGCACCGTGACAGTAAAGTATCTTGCCCAAGAACACAACACAATGTCCCCGGTCAGGGCTCTAGCCCGGACCGCTCGCTCCGGAGACGAGCGCCACCGCGCCTTCACTGATTCGTTCAGTGGACCGTAACGTATCAGTGACGGAAGCAGAAGTTGACCAAACTCGTCATGCGGTTCGGGAAATGTCAAGCCGCAAGTTGAGAGGATTTAACTATACAGCAAGCAACTGAAGGGGAGAACAAAGACAACAAGACTGGGAAAACTAGGGAACTGAACGAGCGAACGAGCGAACGAGCGAACGAGCGAACGATTGATTGATTTAATAAACGATTGAATAAATTAAGGCGCACAAACAAGCGAAAGAAGGAAACAATCGAGAAAATTAAAGCAGGCTTTCGGACTAACTGACGAATTAATAAACAATTACAGCTTACCTTCACAGTGTAACTCCTCGCCAAGTCATAATAATTAACTCCTTGTTTCCATTTCAGCGCCGTTGGCTCCATTTCTTTGTTAACGTCGTTTAGTTCACAATTGTTTTCTTTCGAGACAGGAAAAAAGTTCATGGATGTACACAAACAATCATCTTTACACATCATGTGGCATTGGGCGGCGCTGTGGACTGTTGACCTTCTAAACACGTGACCCTCAAGGATGTGGTTATAGACAACATTTTCGTCAATAATAAATTTAAAGTTTTGGCAGATTACGTCGCTGTGCGCATCAGTAAAGAGAGTCAGGTGCGATACCAAAAACACCTTTTGTAGAAAACGCCAGGCTTTCATAGTGGGGCTACTAGAAGAAGATACAAAAGGAGAGTTAGGTGAAACTGATTTGCTAACATATGCACGTTTTCAAATTTGTCATCGAGTAGATAAAAGGCTCAACCAAGTTGACAATTGCTCATCAAAAACGGGGAGGAATATTTCAATGTTTTAGAGGACGCTTGCAAGGATCATGGCAGTTTTAACCTAGTGATTGAATTCTAACCTGATGAAAATACTGCAATCTGATTTATTGGATCGTCGCGCACTATTTGATAGTTGATGAGGCCCTCGGCTGTCAAAAGTATCTTTAAGGGTGCCCCCAAAGAGATAACAATTAAAAAATGTTATCATTTCCGTTTTTAGGCTCGTTTTCTGCGACTCACCTAAGTCTGGTATACTGACCTGGGGTCCTTTCCCTAACATCAGCTGGTAATGTAGCCTATTCCGTTTTAAATTTTACGACGAGTATCTCCGACTTCTTCATTTGGGAGTCATTTGAAGGTCCGGAAATCTTCTAATCACCCCCAACCAGCCACGAGACGTTGGTGCGCCTGCATTTGGTTTGGGAATACTTTCCTATTTTTCCCACCTGTGTTTTGTTTTTTGTTTTTTTTCGGTTTTCGTGTCAGGCTGTTGAATAAGCTTTACAGCAAAAGCTTTTTATGTTGTGTACTTGTAGTGACTGGTATCTACTATCTTATTTGAGCTATGTCACGCCATCGGAGGGAATTAAAGACTCAATCTCACTTGTATAACTAACCTTTGTTTCATTCAGAAGTTATTGAAAACCAGTTGAGTTGCTAGTACCGAGTTCAGTCTATGCGCATCAGTACTTGGTGAACACTGTAATGTAAACAGATTCCATCCAAGTATTTCCACTAAAAAATTGAACTGCCACGTGCTTTTCACCTTTCAGTTCAATCCAGTCTGAAATAAAAGTCATCGTAAAAGACTTACCGCTTAGTATAAGCAATTTCACGCTTAATGAAGTCGGGTTGTTTACAACACTGAACACGGTGCGATGTTTGGCGAAATTGTCAATAACTCCTATGATTGACGATAAAAGTTAGCCAATGAACGTGTGAATGTAAAATGCAAAGGACATTGAGCAGTAATGATTTTCTACCTGGACGGAGATTTTCTCTATTTGTCTTTGAGTAAGATTCTTAACGAGCAAAGAAACAAATAGAAATCTTTGTTGTCTTTAAAATTGTCTGTTTGGCTTAATTGACGGAAAAGAGGTAATTGAGAGATCCGAAATTCAGTATGACGAATTTCAAATGCGCCTTTGGCGGTCGTTTACTGTATAAGCAATGTAATATTCTGACTTATAAATAAAGTAACATAACAAACGATGCCAAATCCGGCTTAAATTGGGAGAGCCTCTGAAACTGATCTTCGAAGCTCTCTTGGCAAGATACCTTAGCAAATGAATATTTTATGAGCGTCTCTTTCCCTTTATACCATTAATCTGCTCATCGATAAAATGCCAAACGGCCACATTTCTTTTAAACAGACTTCAATTAGTTAACGATTTTGTGAACACTTTTCCTGTAGAAAAGTGTTAGTATTAAAACATAAAAACGCAGATCCTTGTTGAATCGTTATCGCCAACACGCTAGTATTCCACTAGTTAAGCTTGGAATTTCAGTATTAACAAAATAAAAGAAATTTTAATCGTCACATCGCCGTAGATTAATATAATTATAGTGCAAGTGTCAAGTACTGCAAAAGTTTTTCTGTCTTAATTTGACACCTGTTTTGAAGCTACGAGGCTGAGTTTTTTGGTAACATTAAAAGTATCAAGATCCCAGTCTGATAATCAAACTTATTTTACATGACCCGTCAATGGAACCACACAGTAGTGTGCTAAGAGATCTTTAAGCACATTTCGTTATTTAACCGACAGATTGTTTTAAATTGGATCGTGTGAATTTGGCATACACCTTTTACAACAAAGATAAAGATTAATTTTTAAAGAATTTATTGTTGTTTTTCACATATCAACAATGGGAAGTCTTGCAAAAAAGGTAGTGTAATATTTTGGTAAACAAGCAATCGCTCGGAAGTTTGCTGTGAACTCGAGTAAATAAACTTAAAACAGAGCTTCCCCTCACCTCGGACAGAAGAAAAGGAATTTTCGTAAATTGGTAAATCTGCAACGGATTAAATTGTTTTTTACAACTTGCCGTCGTTCAATTCTAAGTCGCATGATGGTGAATTTCTTTTCTTGAGTGTTCCTGGGATTTGGACTATCCAGTGATATTTCTAAATTTTCTCCGAAACATCTGAGAAATGGGAAAACGTGGCCATTATGTAGGCGACCTCCAGCTAGCAACTGTGTAGTGCACTATAATAAGAGTGTGTCCGTGAGAAAACCAGCCAGGAGGTGATACAGCTCAAATGGCCGATTTACGTCAAAATATCTTATTCCCTTTAAGTTAGAGCGACCCCTGCAAAAGGGACCCTTTGACACTAATTTATACATACTTAATGAACAGTCCTTGGTTTAGGGACCAATAAGGTATGGCTAGGCTGTAGTGCAGCGGCAAATAGCAAAGATCACTTCCGGTGATGTCATGACACGTGTTCGAGTACGGTTTTCTCGCCATAGCCTTGCTTTCTACTACGGGAAAGAGCCTGATTTCACGTAATCTTCATTACATGAGTATAAGCCTATAGCTTCCTTCTAATGTTAAAGCCCTTTTCACTGTTTTCAGCACCCTAGTTCGAAGATACAGTACTCAATTGTAAAAATCCGTTCTAAGGTAATTGCTTCTTTGTCATTTGTAGAGAAAATTTGAATGATTTAAACTCCTACCGTAAGCGACAGCATTACGCGTCCATTGAAAAATGTCGTACGGTAAAGTGCAAATGAACGAAAAAGGAGACAGAGAGCATGCGTAAGGCCTGTTAATCAAGTATTCCCCAGTGCAGGTCATTTTCACAAGTATTGTTCTAGCTCTGACTTCGCAAATTTTGCCCTATTCATTGGAGAAGAATAGAAGTAACTAGACAGTGTGTTTCATCGAATATAACTTGAGACCTCGGCCAAACGATCGCGACATGTCAACACAACATATCGTAACAATGTTGGGCGCAACATGTTACGCGCGTTTGGCCATCCTGTTGCGACGTGTTGCGACATGTGGGGTTTTGAAAATTGAAGTAGTGCGCATGCCCGAGCGCAACATTGTTGCACGAACCTGGCCAAACGACTTTTACATGCAACATGCAACACCCACAAATGTTGCATGAAAAATTTGACCATTTTCAAATTTGAGCCAACAACACCCAACATGTTGCAGCATGTCGCAACAGGGTGGCCAAACGCGCGCAACAAATATCGATCAAAAACATTACTTTTGTTGACAAAAATATTCGAACGGTAGAATTTATGTTAGCGAGAGGATGATTTAAATAAATTACCTAATACTGCTGTTAAAGGAGAAGGTCAATCCAAGAAACGTATATTTTTTTGTCAACGTTAATAAAAACCTTGCATTAAGTTTAGCCATTCACCGAAGTTTCAGCCTCTAAAGTGCAGTTAACTCTCTTTAGTGAGGCCGCAGCCTTGTCTCCCAGTTATATCTGATCTAAAATCATCAGAGGCAAACGTCGAAATCATTCATATATCCATCATATTTCAAATAAAGGAAACAAAGTCAGTTTTGGGTGCACCCAGATCATAAAATTATCATCGATCTACCGAAGCCAATTGTGGGGTTGACGTGGTGCACTTTCCAAAGCGTTGGCTTCGAAATAACCAAGAAGAAGGGTTAGCATAAAGGAGCGGGGAGGGGACATTTTAGTGCCCGTGGCTGTGACCTGAATTTGAAAAACAATATTAATGAAAGGAAATTGACCGTTACGCCCCTCAAACTGTTCAAATTGTTCAGTAAACTGCTGAGCTCGCGTAAACAGCAGCGGCAAGTTAACGTTTTAAGCGACAATTCAATCGGCGCGCGATTACTGACGATTATATAGACAAAGTCTAAATAATTGGAAATCGTTATTTGAAAAATAAAAATTCCTTTAAATGCTACTGAAACAATTACATTATTCACACTCGATTTCTATGAAGTGTTATAGTTCACCACTAAATTTTCTCTGATATTCTTATCACGTGACGCGATAGTGTTCATCCGCGGAGAGACACTATCAGCCCATAGTGCCCGTCCGAGGAAAATACCCGGATGGATAGTACTCATCCGTGAAATGTTTCTGTAAACAGGTCTACACAACCTGGCTTAAAGAAAATAAACAATTTAAATTGTATTAAGTGGGTTTTTTTCTGTTTTCTTTTTCAAATTTTACATTTGGCTGTCATTGCTTATATCAAAAAAAGTTGAAAATAATTCACTATGATGCTTGAACTGGCGCGCGGAAGAAAATTTTGTGGTGAAGAATAAAGACAATGGAGTGTTTATGTCTCGGAACCATCGGTCTGATAGTTGCCCCTTGGAAATTTGATGTTCTTAAAACTAGCATATTTGCCCTCGAACCTTCGCT